TATCCTGCATCTGCAAAACCGATCATTTCATGTTTTTTATCATTTGAGTAAAATAACCCCAGATCGATTGTTCCTTGGAGATAACGGAATATATGCTTGATTCCATTCCAGTGTCTCCTCGTAGGTGACGAGTTATATCTTGCTAATAACTTGGTAGCAAAAGATATATCTGGTCTGGTGCAATTAGCAAGATACATAAGAGCCCCTATTGCACTCATATATGGTATCTCAGGACCAAGTACTTCTTCATTTTCTTCACATGGTCGAAATGGATCATTTTCAACATCCAATGTCCGGTTAACCATCGGAGTACTAAAGGGATTAGCTTTGTCCATATTAAAACGTTTCAGTACTCTTCTAGTATAGTTAGATTGATGGACAAATATCCCATTTTGTACTCTCTCTATCTGTAAGCCAAGGCAATATTTGGTTTTTCCGAGATCTTTCATTTCAAATTCGCCTTTCAAAAATGGAACTGCTTCTTGTATTTCATTTGATGTCCCAATAATATTAAGGTCATCAACATAGACAGCTATTATCACAACTCCATTATGTGATTTCTTTATAAAGACACACGGACATATTTGATCATTTAAGTATCCCCTTTTTAATAATTGTTCGCTCAAACAATTATACCACATACGCCCGGATTGTTTCAAGCCATATAAAGATCTTTACAACTTTAACGCACATAACTCTTTAGGTTTGAATTTCAGTGCTTCGGGCATTCTGATTCCTTCTGGGATTTTCATGTATATGTCGGTGTCTAATGATCCATACAAATAAGCAGTTACAACGTCCATGAGACGCATCTCAAGATTTTCATGGACAGCTAAACTCATCAAGTATCTGAAAGTAATTGCATCCATGACAGTGGAATATGTCTCATCATAATCGATCCCAGGCCTTTGGGAAAATCCCTGTGCAACAAGTCGAGCTTTATATCTCGTGATCTCATTTTTCTCATTTCTTTTTCTGGTGAAAACCCATTTGTATCCAATAGGTTTTATGCC